CTCCCAAAAATTTCCTAGTGTCTTTTCTCCCTCAAAAATAAAAGGGAAAAGTTTGTATAGAGCCGAGGCTCTAAACAATGAAATTAGATCCTTTTTCAAAAATTTCACTAAAAAAGATTGTTTTGAAATTGATCATCTCGACATCAAGATGCATGGACATGAGAAAAAAATGGATTTCAAGTTTTAAAAATAATGTATTTTGTAATGCATTTTTGGATCGTCAATTTTCAAAGACCTGCTCGATCTACACTATTTTTGAAGCTTTAAACTTTGTAAATAAAGATGAAAATATATTTTAAGGCTATCACAAAGATTTTCAATATTAAAACTGCATTTCTCGATACCATTTGAAAGTAGGCCTTAATTTGATTGTTTAGAGTCTAGGCTCCATACAAACCGCACCCTAAATAAAAGCATGGCCACTTTCTCTTTACATTCATGCTGCTTTGGTGTTTTGTAGACTTGCTTATATCATGCAATAACAGGCGATTACTTTTGTACCTTTCTATTTTCAGATATCCCAAGACCGTATTGCCCGGGTTACCTTTTTGCACACCCATATTTAGGGACAAAATACAATCTTGAGGGACCCATATTTAGAGACAAAATACAATCTTGAGGGAGCTTCTAGTGTAGCTGTAACAGGAAAGTTCATCTTCTTCATTTTTTTTCTTTACATCATTTCCTCACTACATACCTTAGGCACTATTTCCCCACAACATTTTTCGACAATAAATTGATTTTTTTTGGAGGTGTATGAGATTTGTCGAATTTTGAGCTCAAAATTGATTTTTTATTTTTAAAATTGGTCATATTGGTCATTAAAGGAAGGGTGCAATTGGCATACGGATGCATCTGTAGCTGTAGAAGTAAGGTGCACCTTCAAATTTTATCATGATATATAGTTTTGACGTAACATGTTCTTAGGATTATCTCAAAATCTATTTTTATATCAAATTATAAAATTTTAAATTTAAAAAATGGTTAAAATCAAGTAGATCTATAAACATATGAAAATCTTGAAAATGGATGGTGTTAGATCATATGTTGTAAATGCACTATTTCTGAGACTTGAAATCTTTTTATTTTTCATGGTCATACATCTCGATGTCAATCAATCAAAGGGTTTTTCAACATTAAAACTACCTTTTCCAATGGATTTTTTAGGTGCATCCATAGTTCTGCATCCTTATATAAACTTTTTCCTAAAAGAAATGCATGTAAATAGCATAACTCAGCTATTTCTTCCGCAAGCGCTGTCCCTATTTTGCTGCAATTTTTAATGCAGTACTCTTCTCCCGGTCCTAAATATCTATTGTCAAAATTCTAGGATGGAACAACAATTGGTGTCAAAATAATGGAGACAAGTGCTCCCTAACCACATAGTGTAAATGCTGTCAATATTGACATGGGCATCATCAATTATTCTTAAGCATAAAGTGCCCTATAAAGTGATTCTAAGGCCCATGCAAAAAACATCATTATATTTATCATCACCTTGGTCAGTTTGGACAAACCACTTAACATATAGGTAAGCCTTCTTTCACTTGAACTTAAGTGCAAGATGTTTTTCTAAAGGATGGGTAAGTCTTAGTTCACTTGAACAAGATGCTTTCCCAAAGGATGCAGTGTTTATAAGGCCTAGGCTTTATAAAAATAAAGTAAAACCTCACCTCATATCTTCATTTGAATATCACTTTAGGCCTTGGAAATCTCCACGATAGCTTCAAAATCAATTTCCAATACAGGCTATGAAATTTGAAGTTCATGAAATGTGCAGATCTTGTGGATCAGTGGTCTCTTGTTACTAAGGCAAAATGGGCAGTTAAAATAAAATGTGCAGATCTTTCAGATCCCAAAGTTGCTGACAAATACAATATCATAAACTAACTTGGGCTCTTTGATTCATTTAAGTCGAGAAGTAAAATATGTGCTTGTGCAATGTATTTATTCAAGCAAAATCATTTCAACAGCTTCCATAGTACCAACATAACTAGGATAAACACATGACTGTGCAATCAATTACATCTCTCTCTCTCTCCATAAAAGAAAATTTTTTTATACGCACATCCAGGATTAAGATATATGAACATTCAATAATTTCAACCTGGGTTAAGATATGAACATTCAGTAATTTCAACCTGTACATTGCTGATCATATGCCTTATAGAGTTCGTCCCTGAGTCATTGCAAGTACAAAACATGCAGCCTTTCCAAGGGCATGTCATGACAAATCAAAACTTCGCAGGATTTGCATAGCCCCTTCCATTCACCATATTCACCTCACAACTTTAACGAATTTGCGACAACTTTAAGGAATTTGTGACGGTCGCTCACCAGTGATCAGACTAGTGCACTTAACAATGTACGAGGACTTAGTTTCCAAACCATAAAATGGAAATCAATAAATAAAAACCTTCCCATTTTCTAGAATACAGCACCGTGTCTTTCACAGCCCCAAGAGGTTAGTAATAGCGATCTATTGAATTTGCGTCGAGAGTATCACTGTGATTCCTGCATATGCCTCGGATTTACTTTTGTGATACTATCCTTCATTCAAGTAGGTATATAAACCATTTAATTACAGATCGGTCCATCAAAATCATATAGTTTCATTGGCACTTCTCATATATACTCATCAATATCTTATAGCTGCTTCGGTCTATGCATATTATCAAAGCATTCCAATCTTGCTTCCCCATCTTTAGTCACTAGATCAAGTTGCTCTTGCAATTTTGTTGGACAATAGCATGGGCAGATGCAAGAAAAACAAGTTTCACAAAAAAAAGAAAATGACCAATTGAATAGAAAAGAATCCCAACCTAAAACCAGATGTTTCTGGGCAGACCAGATAAAATAACATGTTGGTCTGGTTTTAGTGCTCCTAGTCACCAAGTTCAATTTACACCTGAAGTGATAGTTGCTACAGTACATATGAGTCATGTACACCAGATGCTTCTTCATGTAGAATGCAGCAAAGACAAATGGATAGTGTAGCAAAGATTGGTGGACAATTATCTCAATAGAAGCAATCCTATGGACAGCAAGCTATTGAGTGAAAATCCCAGAACAAGTCTTGCATGAGCCCAATTTTGATGGATGCTCTAGTGGTAATTTGGGGCCAACAGGGATTGGAGGCATCTCTAGAGATGCATATGAGAATAGGATTAGGGGTTTTTCTGGACCTTTCGGCTACTGTGAAACCGAGCTAAGAAGGTTCCCCAACCTTGGTAATGATTTTGACAAAGCTTTTGATATTTATAAGACCCATAAGTCGGAATACAGCCTTAAAAAATTCAAACATTTCTATTGGGGGTGAATGGGGAGTTGGTAGGGAGTCGCTGTGGGGGGTAAGTGTTGTCTGAGTCCTTTATGTTGCCCACTTTATTATATGATTCAAACTGTTATCCAAAAAGAAGTTCCAGTCTAATCTATCAAAACCAATAGAAATTGTTTAGACAAGACAGTGCCCTAAGCAGGTCATTCATTAAACTCTTGACCAACAACAAAATCTCTAGTTTATTTTCTGATAATCCTAAATCCTCATGAATCGGAACAGGGTTTCTTACTACAAATGAAGAAAATATAAGAAACATGAAAACCTACAAGAAGACACATTATTAGGCTGGGTCCAACTTTGCTAAGAGGAGCTCTTGCCAATGACACAGATAACACTTAGTTAAGCATATATTCATTATTAATTACAGGAGACCAAAATAAGGTCCCTGTTTCAGTGACAAATGCCTCCTCACAATAATCTTCTCTATGAAATTGAAAATCTCCCTCATATCTACAAGTATCCAAGGGAACCAACTGAATGAAAAGTCCAATTACCAACATTGAAAGATTAATCTTCCATGATCGATTACCAAGTGACGAGTTTGAAACTTTGAAATATAAAAGACTGGCTTTCTTTAATAACAATTCCTCATAAAACATGCATTAATAAACCCACAGCCCCATGTTCCCAAATTGCCACCAACCCCGGATTGTCGTTGTTCTTAAGAGAGACCAAGGGGGACAGGAACAAGTCATCTGAATAGTGTAAACACCAAGGACTTATGCAGCAGATATGACGACTCTAACACAGTATAGATGTCTCTTGAGTCCACGAGAAAACTCAACTAGCCATCCAAATTATCTTGGCCACCTATAATTACCCAAATATTTACTAAACGAAGTGGGTTCTCCTTTGCAAATGTTCTTATATTTCACTCTGTTGAGATTCTCCATAGGATTCGGAGAGAGAATACTTTGGTTCCTCACCCTAATCATGTTAGTTGCCATCCCAGCACCTCCTTAACATGAAACTTTTAGTTATAGGCATTAAATATCACAAGTAATATTCCAATTTAACACTTGGAAAATTGCAGTTAAGGAGATGGTCAAACTCTCATCCAACACTTGGGACTAATTTTCTAAAAACCCATCTCCCTTCATAAGAATGTTCCATCAAGAATCAACTACATAGAACGAAAAAGAAAAAGAAAGCTTCGAAATTTGTACAGACAGCTCATTCTCCATAGGCAACTATGTTATTGTAGACCACCATCCTCATACATTGAAAGAGGTGATGACTTGATAAGGTAAGAAACTGTTGATTCAGATAAGTAGATAGAGAAACTCGTATAGGAACCCACCATCAAATTGGAAGTGGGCCACTGAACTGTAACAATCAAATATGGAGAATGCAACTAGAGAAATCTTTCTATTCTTCAACTTCCAAAGTCATGCTACTGGTATGTGTATATAATCTAACTTAAACAAACTTAAATTAGTTGTGAGTCTAGGTGATGTTAACACCAAAATTAGTTAAATAAAAACTGAATAAAGTTAATGCAGTCATTAAGTAGTATTTTTAATCAATTACTGCTTATTACAAAAGAAGCACCAAAAATAAATCTACTTGGTTAAGTTTTGGGTTCATTATGCTTCAAATATGTATTCCAAAATCACTTTCACTGCACCACACCCAAATGCTCAACAGTGTTGCAGTTCCCTTTGAACAGGAAAGCATCAAATTCTTCGAATAAAGGAAAAAAATCAATCCTAGGGATTACAACGAGCCCCTTACATCACTAGACCAGAACCATTCCTAGGGATTAGAACAAGCGGTTTACATGATTAGACTGGACCAATGCTCACATGTGGAGCCTTCATTACACAATCCTGCTTATTCCATTAGGATAGACCCTCACAATTAAGAAAATGCAATTACAATTGCTTGGCTGCTTGATAACCACTTTCAATCAGGTACGCAAGTAAAACCATAGCAATTTTAACACCAGATCACCGATAACTTTTTTTTTTTTTTTTTTCAAAACCCATAAACTGAAAAGACGATGTGGAGTTGCAGAAAATCATGCTATACAAATATTTGGTATTACAAAATAGCTAAAAAAAACTCAAGGATCATATATGATACAAATCCCAATCAATCTTGGGTTGTGAAAATACCTCGTAATCCATTGGTCCATCCACAACACCATCAACATTTTGCAAGCTTTCAAGCAGTGCCGGTTGAAACCCATCATTTTTTGAAGGAAGCAATTTATATAACAATAAAAGCCCAAACATGCACACAGCTTGTAACTTCATAGAGTCTCCTTGAACTGAGAAGTATAGGAGCATGGACAATAGAAACAACACCACACAGAACCGCATGATGCAGAGAACACTATCCATAAGCTTCCCATCATTGCCTGCAGGGAACCCTCGAACTCTGTACACGAACAAGAAGTTATATTTGTCCACCACATACCTGTACCCAAAGTAAAAGGCTCCCACTGGAACCACGATTGGGGCAAATGAAGAGTAAATCATAGTGAGAGCAAATATAGTCAGATTAAAGGCATAATACTGTGCAAAATCGAACTTGTGTTTCACTATATGGGGGTTCCTGGTTATGGGATATACAGAAAGATCTTGCCCCTGCAAATCAATCCGATTTATGCCCTGAATTCGGGAGAGGTCCCCATTACTAAATTCCCTCTGAGAAATTAAAGGCCTTTGCAAGTCATCACCCTGGTTATCCAACGGGTAATCTTCGATTTGCTCGGGAACCAACTGAAGCATATCATTCGTTCGAAATTTCTGCAATTTTTTCTTTATCCAAGGGATTGGAGCGAGAAGGTCATAAGATATACCCAAGAAAGTGCTGGTAATAAGAAATGCAAGAGAGGAGAGGCAAGACCTTGACAAGAAAGAGGCGCTCATATATTGCTCAATTCTTTTACAGTCCTCTCCATCTAGATAGCACCGACCCATTCGAAGAAGAGCACTCTCAAGTGATGACTCGACCAGAGCACGAAGAAAGATTAGATTCACAAGAAAGAAGCAAACCATCTTCAAAAGAGCAGCTCTCTGCTCCCCTGATAAAGTTAAATGGCGCTCAAACTTGGAGAGAGAAGAGAGAGCAGCTGGAATGACTATATACATGCTAATGAATATCAAAACATTGGGCAAAAATTGAAGAATTATTGAAGCAGCCCAGCTCGAGCTCTGAATCCAAGCCAACCATAGAGTTGCATTATCCATGGCTTCTGCATTTATAATACGACCTGCACTCTTCACTGCACTGATCACTGCAAGAGGAGAGCTACAAAACAAGAGTAACACAAGAAGGCAAGTGTTTACAGCTATTCTCCTTATTTTTAGGGAAATTTTGCTCGATCCCAAGTGGTTCCAGTATATGTCAGTAGCTGGAGGGGCCCTCTCCACTTTCCACCGACTTCTCTCCAACTGTAACTCCATTACAGTGAAGAATTTTCCAATGGGTCCCTTTTTTTTCTCTGATTTGAAATCTTGAACTGCCTTGTTAACTGTGTAGACATCTTTGAAGATCACAAATGCGATGCCCGCTCCTTGTGCTCGACCCACCTTGTAGAGAGACAATTCTCTCTCTAACTCTCCTTGAAAAGCTTCCAATCTTCGAAGCCTTTCCTCTTCGGTGAAACCCAATTGAACAAGAACCCAAGCCCAAACTTCCTTCACCTTTCTGAGTGATTCCTTCCATAAATAGATACTTCGAGCAAAAAACCCATTTCTTATATGACCCAAATTTTCAGAAGATAACCCCATTAGACCAGCACCTGTACCATCTTCTCCATAATAACGCAAAAGAATTTCTCTCTCTTCTGAGAGCACAGCTGCATCTAAACGAGCCTGTAACCATGAGATATCATTCCTAACCTTCACAAGCTCAGTTACGAGCTCATCGAACATACACAAATTTTGTGGAACTATAACCCTGTAAATTTTTCCTGGATATTTTTGTTGAAAATACTCGACAAGGGGGGCTGGATCAGCTGCTAGACCTTTGGGTATCCCCTGAATCATAAGAGTGAAAACGGAGATTGAATTCACAGCAAGATTTCCATCGAGAAATCGTGTAGCTCTCAATCGATCCTCCAATTTCGTAATCCCCAAATGAAGAACACTAACCACTATGATTACGAATAGAACATGAACCCATAGAAGAGGCGAGCCTTTTGAGATATGGGTTATGGTGGTCTTTGAGAACTGATCATTCATCGCAACTTTTCCCGAATGTAAGTTCAGAGGTAAGATCAGGCCTATGGAGAAAACCGAAATAACCAGAAGGACTACAAAGCTACCACCTTCAATATGAAGAAATTGAGCTGCATTTGCACCGCAATGGCGTGCAATTTGCTGGCCTGTCGTATGCCAAACAGCGAGAAGCTTGGCAAGAAGACCAGCAGGGCCAGGCATCTTATGGTCACTCCTTAATTTCACAAATAAGAACAGAGAGACACAACAACAAGCCCCAATTGCTGAGATATTCAAAAGGTACTGTATATTTCCATACCAGGTTTCGTCGATTGGTTCATCAGAAGGTGATGGAGAGATGGCCATGGAGGGCTGGGCTTCTTGAGCCATGGCCAAAACCCAATTTGGACAGAGAACTAAGAAAGAAAGAGCGCCCCATGTGAGTAACCCTAAGTTCCTCCCTCTAGAAAACCCGCCTTTAGCCATTGCTAGGTTTAGGGAGAGAGAATCAGACCCAAAGCATGCCCATGCAAAAACCTAATTCTAAGGGATTCGAAAGGGTCAAAAGATACGATACAGATAGAAGAATAAACAGAAGCAAATTCAGCCTTAACATCGAAGAAAACCTTTAAAGCTGAAAGAAAAAACTACATATGGATTGAGAAGAAATGGGTTCTCTCTTGAGAATACCTGGAAAATGAGCCCCAAATCATGGCCCTCTAATGAAGGCAATTTCCAAAAGTAGAGAGAGAAAAATAATGTTTCCCGGTTAGACGGCAAATTCCGAAAGCCAGAGAGAGAGAGAGAGAGAGAATGAAAAGGAGGTTTCAGGGCGCAGAGGGAAACACCGAAGCTAGAGTGAACGCGAGAGAGGGTTGGAATAATAATGCCGAACCCAAATGGCCTCGTGGATCTGCAATTTATTAATCATGGTTCATTAAAAAATGACAATAAACAGTTCCCCTGATTTGTGGGACTTGCAAGTGAGCAAATTCAATCAGGAGAGACGTTCAATGGGAGAAAATAGGGAAAATAGTGCATCGATGAAGTCTAAGGGTCGCAACCGGGTTGGCTCAACCCAACGACCCAGCGGGTCAACCTGATCTGATTCTAGGTTTAGGTATTGCCGATCTGGCTCTGCGTATGGGGTTCAAGTTTTGGACCTGATTGGTCGGGTCTGGGTCCAAAACCTTGGATTCGAGCTGGATCCCGGTCGGGTCAGGGTCCAAGTCGACCCGACTCGATTATATATATATATATATATATATATATATATATATATGTGTGTTGTAGTAGGTCGTGAGCTACTAACAATAACAAGTAAACGACACTAACTTTAATAGTAGTACGTAACGAAGTAGT